TATTGGTCTGTAGCTTTCTGGTCTTCTTCCATCCTTCCTTGGCTTCAGAAGAGGTATGATTTTGGCGTGTTTCCAGTTGTTCGGAAAGTATCCTTTTTCCAAGCAGTATTTGAAGATATAGTACAGCTGTACTATGATCTTCTTTGGAAGTTCCTTGAGGGTGATGTTATGGATTCCTTCGTGTCCTGGTGCTCTGCTTCCTTTCAGCTTCTTGATGATTTTGGCAACTTCTGCTGGGCTGGTATGGTCTTCATCATCTATTTGGAACTCGTTCCTTCTTTTGATCCTGTTGTATTCCTGTTCGACTTGCCTCCTTGTTCTTGCATCCGACATGTTCTGGTTTTGTCTGTGTGTGGCTGCCATCTTTCTTGATATTGCATCAACTTTTCCTTGGGTGTCGTAGTATGTTCCCTCGTTGTCCATGATTTGTGGCATCTTTTGTTTACCTCTTCTTCTTGCCTTCAGCATTTTCCATACGTTTCCATGATTTTCTTCAGCTCTTCTGATGTTGTTGTGCCACTGGTTTTCAGTAAGACTTCTCAGTCTTACTCTTATTTCTTCGGATAGGATGTCTCCGTATTCCTTGAATTCCTGTCTTCTTGTCCTTTGGAATGCTCTTCTGGCCTTGTTTCTGTCCTTGATCATGTCCTGTAGTTCTCTTGGAATGACCAGTCCTCTGTTGTTCGTCATGGATTTTGGAATGTTGGCTTCCATGGCACGTTGAATTCTTCTTGTGATTTCTTCTATTTTTTCTTCTATTTCCTCTGCTGATTGGAACTCCCTCTTCATTTCCATTTGGTTGAGCTGTCTTCTGTAGTTTGGCCAGTTAGCGTCTTTCCATCTCCATCTTTCCACTGGTTCTATTCTTGGCAAGTCGACTCTTGATGTCATCCTTCCCATAACTGGTTTGTGGTCCGAACTGCATTCGAAGTAGGCTCTGACGTCTTCCATAATTACATCTTTGGTGACGAAAAGGTCCAGTGTTGAGTTGTTGTGTCTTCCTATAGGGTTGATCCTTGTTGGTTCGTCTGGAGCGAATAACATCATATTTCTGTCTTCGCAGTATCTTAGGAGTGTTGTTCCTGGAGCGGTATCCGTCATACATCCCCATGCTGTGTGTTTGGCGTTGAAATCTCCTGCTACGACCACGGTTGGAGCTGAGTTGAGAAGGGCATCTAATTCTTCTAAGGCTAGGTCTTCTGAATGTTTCCTGTAAATTGAAAAGATATTAGTTATACCTACTTTGATACCTATACTTTCAAAATGGCGTGTTTCCATCAAAACTTGGTTCCATTCTATGTTGTTCTTGACATAGATGGCTACTCCTCTGTCGTTTGGTTCGTCTCTTCTTCCAAATCCATCGTAGTTGGTAATCCTTGGAAGTTGGGTGTTCGTCATGTATCTTGTTTCAGACAGGCATATGACATCTGGGTTATGTCTTATGACTGCCTCCCGAAGTTCGCTGATTCTTAGCCGTAGTGAAGCTATGTTGAACTGTAGAATCTTGAGATGCCTAAGGTTCATTGTAGATTTCTTCATATTTCATGAAAACCATTGCTTTTTCTGCAAAAGTTTTTGCCTGAAGTAGATCCCTTTTCATATCCTGGAGTAGTGCTACCATCTTCTCGACGTTGACTATTTGGTTAATCTCCGCCCATGTGCTTTTGATGGTTGGTTGCTGCTGCTGCTGTCCTTTGCTGGCCTGTGCGTATGATAGTCCACTTGTGGTCGTCCTAAATGTTGATGGGTGTGGTGGTGCTGGTGTAGTCTTCTGTTGAGGCTGGTTTCTGGCCCTCCTTGCTGCTTGTTTGTCCAAATATTCGATGTGTTTGCTACACATCGGGTAGTTTGAAGTATGTGCCTCCAGGCAGTTACAACACTTCACTTTATTCAATTGTCCTTTTGGTAAAGGACAATGTCTCGTTTGGTGATTGTTGGCGCATTTCATGCACCTTGGAGCCTTGAAGCAGTTCCTAGCTGAGTGTCCGAACTCCTGGCAGTTGAAGCACTGAGTAGCTCGTGCTGGTTTTGAGTAGGCATCCCACCTAACTCTGATGTTTTGGACTCCATTAATTTTCTTAACTTCTTTGAGGTCTTGAGCCTTGTCTACTTGTAGGAGGTATGAGCTGCTTGTAGCTCCTGGTTTTCTTGTTTTTAGTTCCGTCACCTTACCAACGATACCTTGCTCTCGTAGTTCTGCCTCAACTTCATCCAGGTCCATTCCAGGGGCAGCCTTCATCACTAATTTCTTAGTGACCTCTGATTTTTTCGTGTATGTGTGGAATTCAACCGATGTTGAGATGAAGTCCTGCTTCAATTTTTCGTAGTCTTCTGTAGTCTTCAGGTATACTCTTGTTCCTATTTTTCCTGCTGGTGAAATCTGGAAGTTTTTATGCCCTAATAATTCTGTCATTTCTTTTATTAGGGTGGAGTAACTTGTTATTTTTCCAGAAATAACCAGTGGAGGTACTCGTTCCTTCTTTGTTGTCGTAGTGGTGGTTGTTTCCTCGGTGTTTATTGTTGTTAAAATCTGGTAGCGATTTTTCGTAGTAACTGTTCCTGTACTGCTACTTGCAGTTGGACGTTGTCTGGCTCCGGATATTCCCTCATTTGAGTTTCTTCTTGGACATTTTACCTGCTGGAAAGGTTCTTCTTCCATTATCTCTATGTGGTTTGATGCCATCTCATCCGTGACTTCTTTTATTTGGTTTATTGAATCTTCGGAATCGTTCCTCTGTAACTGTTCCTTGTCCTGGGTGGGTCCACCTCTCCTTGAGGTGGGCCTGAATTTTCTTGATCTAAAGAGATTCCTATGTATTGGATATTCCTTCCTTATCGGAATTGTACCTGAAATAATTTTAGTTAGTTTGTTTGTAAATACAGTTTTATCTTCTGTATTAGTCTTAAAAAAGACTAAATCAGAGATATCCTGATTTTTCGTTATACAATTAAATTCAGTCAACGTCAACCGTTCAGTTGACCGCCGACTGGATTGGGTTGGGTAAAGTGTTTGCTGTCAGTCACTCGGACCAGAGCAAAGGAGCGGAAAATAGACTGTGATTCTCTATGCGACTGTTCGGTAGCGAGTCTCACCGTCTACTGCTAAAATTCTATAATAAGTCCACAGTCCATATAATGACCAGAAGTCATTAACCCACATAGTAATAACGGGTTATATGTTTATATTATATATTTATTTTAGTTTATTATTTATTATATTATTTATATTATTTAATAATATTATATATAATTTAATGAGTGACTGTAGATGGCAATTGATTGGTTCTCCAGGCGCATGTGATAGCAAAATCACTAGGATATAAGCACGAATCCAGTGCCTGTCTCGTTGCAAAAACCACTAAATATCAAAGTTGCAGGGGTGAATATTATACAAATTATTATACAAATTATATACAAATTATATACCAAACATCCTCCGTCCTACATATGTAATGACCACTTACCAATCACATCAGATAAAGTGGAAATAGCCATATCACAACTAAAAGATGACATAACTAGGGGATCTGACAGTACATATTCTTAACCCATAAAGCTATTTAATTCCGACGGTATTCAACGACTAACAAAAATATTCAATGGCATAAGTATTTAAACGGAATAAAACCAAGACCATGGCTAAGGTCAACATTTACTGCTCTACCAAACAAAACAAAATATGTATACAGCAATAATTTCCGGATTATCAGCTTGAGCCAAATTCTAAAGTAAAAACTTTCACTAAACAAGAGAGCAAAATGTATAATGATCTCGTAAGGACCAGCGAATTAGAAGAATCAGTGTAAATGGTAAACCTATAGAAACAGTAAAAACATACACCTACCTTGGTACGAACGTCAATGAATATTGGGACCATTCCCTAGAAATTTATTGTGGGATAGAGAAAACAAGATCTACATTTCAAATAAGAGCTAAGCTATTTAATTGTTATTATTTATCAGATTAGGTTACGACTATATTATATGTATATATTTCCTATACTGTTGTACGGAGATGAGTCTCTCACAGACTCTACCTGCAAGAAAATTGAGGCTTTCAAAATGTGGCTTGATCATCGAATCCTGAAGATATCCTATACCGACCAAGTTATATAATCAGGACGTTTTATTAAGAATGCAAAAAGGAAACTAGTTGTTAACCATAATAAAAATATCCAAAATCGAATACATCGGTCACATCATCAGCGACAGCCAAAGATAAAGTTTGTTGCTATTAATTTTACAAGGTGGGTACAAAAGTAAAAGAAAAACGAGGACCAGAAAGGCGAAGGATTTCCTGACTGAAAAATCTACGCACTAGGTTAACTAAAAGACAGACAAGAAGATGTAGATAGGTGACCCTCCTCGCGATCGTTTCTCATTAATTTTACACTCGATCAATTTTCCTGCTCTTTGATCTGTGAAGTACCTATCTTGAGGTAGACCCGATTAATTTTTAGTGTCAATAAATCTACACATCCTACACTACAAAGCTCTAGTAATAAACTCTCCGACAAGCACCTACCCAGAGACAGGTAGAAGGTAGTTTCATAAATCAAAATCCGGAGTCATTATCTTAAAAATTGTACATGAAGTCAGCCAGAGCATAACTATTTGCAGACCCCGTGGAAATTCAAGAGAGGAAGTCGAAAGACCTCTGATAAAATGGATCGGCGGTTTTAAGTTTTAACTATCCTGAAATAAGATAAATAACAGCACTGGATAGAAACTACCGGAAAACAAGAGGGACTATATCGAAAAACGATTTGTGGTACAAAAAACTTTGAAGGTAACAATAAGTAACCCATAGCATAAATACCACATAGAAATTACTGAAATAACAAAATAAATTTCTTTTCTTATTGATAAATAAAATATTAATTTACAAAAAATAATTGGTTGCAAGAAAATAATTTTAGAACATATAAATAAAAAAATAAACATTCGTGTTAAAAAATGTAAATTTCGATAACTTAAAATTATGATAAAAACACACATTACCTCTAACTGGCCAAACGGTCGCATTTCAGTATTACACAGTATAAAAGCACTTTCAAAAGTTTCTGTAAAAATTCTATGCATTTTTCTCGGGCCGAAGTAGAATTCCCAAAAAGTATAAAAATCGTTATAATTCATTCTGTGAAAATCCTATAAATCACAACACAACAGTCACTTGTCACCAAACAAGTTGTTAATTAAAGCACAAAGCAGAAACAATCAGAATATGTAAATTACCCAATGGCAGTGAAAACTAGAATGTAGAATGGGCAAGCACGAGTCACAGAGTAGGATGGTTTAATTTAGCGATCGCCAATCAAACGGTATACCAGTTGATAACTTATGTTTCACGATTTTTATTGGCTGGCGTATATTACTTACTCATCAGCAATTTGTATCATTATCTTTCCGATAAATATAGCAATATAGGGATATTGTTTATATAATAATTGTATTTGGTGTGGTGGAATTCTAAATTAGAATTATATAGCATTTATTTTGAAAAAAAATTAACCTGCGATTTTTGGAAAAATGGTTTCAATTTTTTAATGAGGGGAGGGGGTATTTGCTGTTTTATTTGTTTTTGTCGTCTCAGTTCTTCCAACGAGGACTTATGACTAAGGTACTTTGACATGCGAAAAATTTAAAAACTCCTTAAAACAATTAACGCGCATTTGTCCACAGGAATACTTTCTGGTAGAAATTAAATTATTAAAAGCCAACAAATTGTATCTTTCTAATCGCTTATTTTCTTTAAACCCTTTGATAGATGATTTAAGTATCTTAAAAATTGGAGAACGCTTGAGTATTCTTCCAGCTATTCTTTCTAAAAACCTTCATCTCACTAAACTCTATGCTGAATCTAAAACATATTGCTCTTTCATGCATTCATATTCTAAATCGTCGGTATACTGCGAAAACTAGGTAAGTGTCGGAATACCGAAATCGAGAAAAACGTTTTTAAAGTTTAGTTTTTTATTGTGAATTAAGCAGTCAGATTGTTTTTGATATTAGGTAGTGTAGTGAAAGATGCATAAAATATATCTGAAATGATATTCTATTATTAGTTTGAAAAAGTTGAGGCACCTATCCGACTAATCCTAAAAAGTTGAAAATGCTATACTTACCTGGTTTTACCTGTAAATCTAAATAAATCAGTTACTCTTCAAATAGCATGTTTAACACAAATATAATAAACCAAGTATAATATTTTCCAGTTTTGTGATCGAGATATGAGGCTTTTACTAGGTAATAGCAATGTTTTAGTCTATAATATTTACATTTAACTGGTCTTCCCTGAAAATTTTGTTGTTTGTACAACAGCTGTTTGTAGTTATAGTTATTATTTATATGAATGATTATTTATATGAATGATGAATGAAGTTTTATAGAAAACACCAATTTATTTCGAATATAATAATAGCAATATTATTATTATGAGGCTTCCTCGTCCGATTTGTCACTGCAAGCAGGCGCTGACAAGATATCTGTTACATCATTTCCCGTTTTCAAGTTACGATACCACCCGGGATATTCCGCCGGTATCACTCCCTTATCACATAGCTGTATCAAATCTCCCTTTTTTGTAAGGCTAATTGGCAAATGTGCATCAGAAAGTCGCTTAAGTTCTTCAAGATTGCTTCTATTAGTTGATAAGTTGGCGTGCTTTTGTCTTGTTGACTGCCGTGCAGTATCAGTAAGAAAATGATTTAAGCTTTTTGACCTAATGTCCTAATTAGAATAGGTTCTGTTTGTCACTCCTTTTACAAATCTCATTTTTTTTTTCTTCAACCACAATATTTTTTCGCGGTTTTGGTCTGTTGTCCGGTTTTTAATTAAAGTGTGTGACAAATTTTTTTGATCATAAAAGTCGTATTATTTTAATTCTTTACATTTGTATGGTTCTATACATACTTTTTTATCATCAACCTTGATATTTTAAGTTCCTCTTGCATTTTTAAAAACAGTCAAGTAATCTAAAATCCCATAGATAAATCTGCGTTTTTTAGCGGTTTCGATACTACTATCATATATTGAGAGATAACATCCAAGCAAATCTCCGGAAAATGAACATTCATTTGACCCTAGGTTGATGGAAGACCGAACAAATTGGAAAAAAGTTGTACAGTGAGCCAAGACCCACCCATGGTTGTAGCGCTACGTGATGATGATGATACTACTACTATGCATAGACTCAACTTCCATATAGGAATGTCAAGACTCTAAAAATTTGTGTTCAATAGTATTCAAATTTGGATAAGTAGTGGAGTATAATGCTTCCTATTTCAGAACTTCCTCGTCTACCCTTAATTTCTGATCAGAAAAAACAGTAGGTAGGCTGCGTTTGGTAATTCGGCTTCATATACACACAATTTATAGATGCTTAATTTTTGAGAATAATGTAGTTGTCCACTCAAAATACTTGAAATCTGTAGTACGGCCTGTAGATCGAAAGTAATTAAAACAAAATCCTGTTGTTCATTAGATCTTTTCGAATCTTTTTTTTTTTAAAGTTACATACTTCTTTTCTTCTCTGATGTTTTCATTAACTGTCTTCTAAATCTGATTTGTCAGTTGGATTAGCCCTATCATACTTATAAACATTGATCTTTTTTAGGAACAAAAAAGCTTAGATTATAGTCGTTAGAAAATATTTTTCGATATGTAATTTCGCTAAAAACTTCCAGTTTCTTCTGCTCAGTCATTTATATAAAGTTTCTTATACTTAAATTTTTGACCTAATATCTACGCTTTGGCGAATACAATGTGGACCCATGGTGGGAAAAGACTTAATATGAACCTTCACGATTTTTTGTGTTTCACTGCTTGTTTTATTTGGCGGTGTATGCTTGTCTCTTTCATCCGTATCGGCATAATAGCCTAAAATATCAGTTTTTCTTACATCTTGTATTACCGACGCTGATATCCAAAGTGTCTTACAAAAAAAATTTTGCACACACCAAGACATACAGGTCTTGAATATACATAAAATAGACATACAGGTACATGTTACACTTTTTGGAAAATGCACGTGGTTTTTTAAACTTCGACGAACTGCAACGACTCTCTTTGGTGGCTCCGTTTTAAGACGTGTGTTATGTTATGTGAACCTATCTTAATATTTGTAAACCTACCTTAACATGGGTGACAGGTAAAAGACATTGACAGCGGACAACAAAAGAGGATGGCTTGTTAGATATAATCATGTATTAAGTTTAGTTGGTCTTTAATAAAAGATATTAAAAAGAAACTGGTCGTCAATCTTATTAAAAGCCCACAGAGACAACGTAACATGGTGTCAGAAGTAAAAATTCAGGTCAGATTATAGTAACGAGTATTATAATAGTCATACAAAAGTCGAAACATGGTCTAACAGCACGTGGTGATCTGGTTGGTTTTAAAAGAAATTAATTAAAAACGGCCAAAAGGTAAAGTTCAACCATGTCGGAACAAGATTCTATAGAGCAGAATCAACCTGTCGTTGTAAAAATAAAAAGTAATGTAATAGGAAATGAAATCCAACCATTGTCAATGCAAGGAAATTTGGCACATAATTGGGGAGAATGGAGCATAAATTTCAAAATATTTTTGAGAGCCACAAGTTTAGAGGAAGAAAACGATGCGAGAAAAGTAGCTTTATTATTGCACTATATTGGTACAGATGCAAGAAATATTTACAAGTCATTTGAGTTTAACATGGATACTGTAACATTTCAAGAAGTTGTAGGGAAATTTGAAAAATTGACGCGTCTGCGGACGCATCTACAGATTTATCATCAATCATCAGAAGCTGACCACACATGTGGACACATCTGTAAATCTTTCAGTCTGTGTTAATTCCCGGAAGACGCAATATCTACGCGAGCATTAAAAAATGGAAAGGCGTCAGACGTCCACACCGAAACCCTTTGATCTGTGCTTAAAAAACCGACAACAATCGGATCTCTTACAGACGCATACGCGGACGGGATATATAAACAACAGATGATCAAATTAGCCCATCTACACATCTCCAGATGCATACGTGGATGTCGTCCGCGGACGCGTCTGCCGATGTGTAGAGGAGCCATAGATAAAATTATTTTAGCTCTAAAAAGTTCTAAAACGTATGTCGGTATTATACAAGCACGTATTCTGAATTTTAAAATAAATCTTTTTTTTTTATTAACACCTATGCGTTGTTTGTATACTGCTATCTGGTCACAAATGACCAATTATCAGTTATTTTCTGACCTAACATAATAACTGCAAATACTTAAATCTAAGGGCTTACCCTATGGCTTACTCTTATTTTATCTATTAACTAATGCACTACAACTAACATGCAATAACTTCACAGCACTATACTCTGCTTTTTACACTAAACTGTTACACATTTACACTAGCTCAAATGGTTTTGTCCTTATGAGTCTTCTCTTTAGTTCAGTGTTGTCAAGAAGCTGGAATGCCTCGACATTCACATGACTAAGCAGCCTCTGCTCGTGACTTGCTGCTGTTCTCTTGATTATTTCGATCACAGTTTCCATACCCAGGTCCTGGTGGAGGTTGCTGTTACGGATATACCAAGGAGCATCAACAATGTTTCTCAGTACTTTGTTTTGAAATCTCTGGATAATATGTAGATTACTAGCTTTGGTACAGCCCCAGAGTTGGCACCCATGTACCCATACTGGCCTCAGTACTTTCTTGTAGATGGATAATTTATTATGAATTGATAATGTTGAATTTTTTCCAATCAGCCAATACAATATCTTATATCTAATATCAAGCTCCCCTCTTTGCTTTTTGACATGGACTTTCCAGCGCAGCTTCGCGTCTAGGGTGATGCCTAAGTATTTTGCTAATGTGGCATAAGGAACTCGGGTATCATTTATTCTAACTGGGAAGTTTTCTATTTTTTTATTTGTAAAGTTAAAGTGTGCAGATTTAGTCTTAATTAATTTTATTCGCCATTTCTGGTCCAGTTATGTATTTTATTTACTGATAGTTACAACTTGTCAGTCGCTTCTTCACTAGTGTCTCCTATAGCTAGTATGGCTGTATCATCTGCGAAGGTAGCAATAGTATTTTGTTCTAGCTCTGGAATGTCACACGTATACAATAGGTACAGGACCGGACCTAAGACACTTCGCAATGTATGATTTCAAAATTTCTGAATACTGTTTAGGCATGAACGTTCTTAGTTTATAGTTTAAACCGTCATGCCAGACTTTATCAAA